AGAAGAAAGGCTGCAGTGCTGAGGATTTGTTACTCGAGATGGATCGTATCCTCCGCCCCTGGGTTTCATAATCATTCGGGATAAACAACGAGTGAAAGATTCCGTAAGGAAGTATTTATCTGCTTTGCACTGGGAAGCAGTAGCAACAGCCGATTCCAGTTCGGATTCAGAACATGAAGGTGACGAGGCCGTGTTTATCGTCCAAAGAAATTGTGGCTCACGAGTGAAAGCGTCCGGAACTCCGGGTAGAATATTCAGCCTCACGATTTCCATGTTCTCTCTCCATTTATATCTTCTGCAGTTCCAAAGGTATTAAGAAGCTCTCCCATTACTAATCCATCAAACAAATTCATTTTGTTAATTTTTTTTACACCTTTTTGCAACTTGTAATGAATTACATGACAAGCCATGAATTGATTACCATTCTGCATAGGCTATTCTTCAAACAAACAAGAAATAGAACTCTACTTTGGTGCCAGTCAAAGATCGACGAAATGTTACGATACATCGACTCTTTATTTTACATGAAGTATCCGTGTCGGATATTGTGGTCGATGCGTATTCGAACATAGGTATAAAGCGTATGAGAAAGAAGCGTATTTGTGTCGAAAACATATCGGATTTCGGATTTGGATACCCCATTACTAATGGTAAATTGTTGCTTCTGCTGTCTTCTTCTTTGGGGACCAATGGCCGACTGATCTGCTTTTATGTTATTCTTCATTCTCGCCAAACGTCTACGTCTAAAATTGACCCAAAAGAGGTACTTCTCTTTGTTGTGTGCCCCTCTTGTTTTCTTGCTACTTGGTGGTAGGGATGAGCATGGACCCGAATTTGATAGGTTCCGACCTAATCCGATCGGTCTGATTTTTTTAAAAAAATTAAACTCGAATCGGGTCGGGTTTTTTTTTTAATGTGATGTTCAGGTCAGTTTAGGGTGAAAAATACTCGGCTCGACCCTAAAAAATATATAATTTTACCTTATATTTAGAAATAATTGTAATACCCCTTTATATTTTTTTTAATTAAGTCACTGTTTTATTGAATAAAAATAATATTTTTATTATTATTTTGGGTTAGGTCGAGTAGGATTTTTAAATTATATATTGGGTCGGTGGAATCTTGTTCTAGTCGGGTCGAATCTCAGGTGAAAGATTCCTTATTCTCGGATTGGGTCAGGTGGATTAAAAACTCAATCCAACCTGATCACGCCCATCCTTATGGTAAGCTGTAGAGACATCCAAAGTATTCGGATTGGTATTTAAAAGATGGGTAAACTACACAATTGGTCACTTTCCTTTATATTATACATTTACTCACAAATTTTAAAAAACTTAAATCTTTTATATTAAAAGATGTACTTTTATTAACTCTTGAATTTCATATAAAATAGAGTATTTTGTAATGATCGATCATCATCGTTGATTTTTGTCACCAGTTATTGTTGATGACCATTGGACTTTAATTTACAGTTCATTCTCTTTTGCATTCCTGAACATGATTCTCGTATTTGTTTCACCAAAAAAAAACCTAGATCTCGACAATATGATATAGAACTGTAAATTCCTTTAACAATAAATTAAAATAATAAATTATATATTTAGGGACAACGCAAGATTTTATGTCAAGAGGTGCAGACTTAGGAAGTTATATTAGAAATTAAAGAGTGTGTAATTACAAAATTTCAAGAGGAGCGAAATTAGATCATTGATAAAAAATATAAATAAAATACTTAATCTATGTAAAAATTTAAAATTTTCAAGAGTGTGATCGCGAAGATTCCGGCTCCATACTATCTCTAATTATATTCCTTTAAAATAAGAATAACAAATCTAAATCCATATTGTAATACTTTTATATTATAATTATAATTATTTGATTTATATAAATCGATAATTTATATATTCTTTGTATTTTTTATTGTTGATTCAATTTCACATTCTTAAATTTTACAATTTTACATCTTTAAATTTTTAAATAATTTTTTTTTAAAAAAATTTATACTTTTAACACAAATTAGGTCAATTGTTAAACAATTTTTTTATTGGAAAAAATAAATATCCTTTAATATTTAAATACAATTATTGTTGATATTGTTAATTTTTTCAGAATTAAAAATTAATGATCAAACTCAGCAGCCTTTATTACGAGCATTATTAATACCAATAATGTAATATATCTAAATTAACAATATAATAAATATACCTATTTATATTTTAAGTCTTATATTTACTCATTTAATAATAAATTCATTTTTAAATTAATTTTTTAGTAATAATATTTTGATAATCTAAAATAATTTCAAATTAGTATGAAAAAAAAAAAAACAAACAAGTACGTGTGCGGGCGACAACTCGTAATGACATTAGGCAAGGACACGTGTGAATAACGCGGTTGTGTGTAAGGCTGACATCAAGCTTTGAATTTATTTATGGGTAAATTTGCACTTAGTACCTAAACTACCAAAAAATTTAATTTTTGTTTCATTTTAATATTCGTGTTAAAAATTCTTTAAACCAAATCCTTTTTCGAGATAAAGTTTAAACTTATTTTGTATTAAGCCTTTAGATAAGATTTTTTAATTCTATGTTGTTTCTCTTTAAGTGCTAAGGATGACAACTTCTTGTCGATCCCTTTCAATATCTCATCTAAGTCCAATTGTGCAAAAAAAAAAAAAAATTGAACCTTCACATGCATAATGAAAATCTGATGTTGCAATCTAACAACGAAATTTCATATTCTATCGAAGGCATTATCGTGATCAAATCATATTAGAAAAGTTCAGATACTAATTTGTATAATGTAACCACGATAAGAAAGAACATAAAATAATCGTGAAATAAATAACACTAAGATTTACATGTAAAATCCATTCGAGGAGAAATCACTAAGTAAAGAAGATAATTTTCATTAATATATTAATATCGAAGATAGAAAAATACAAAAAATATTGTATAACTTAGATTCTCAACTATTATCCCTACTTATATTTATAAAAATAAACTACTTGTTTGAGAAATAATAATAAAAAAATACATTTTTTACTATCAATTAACATAAAAAAATCAATTTTTACGCTAAACATGTTCATCTTCTTAACTCTAATTAAGAAAAGATGCACCTAACACTTTTTTTTGTCTTCCGATCCTGAGACTTTGTTGATTAATTCAGATCGATTCGCGTCACACACCTAATTTTGGTGGATAAGTCTCCCAACAAGGATTTTCTACATACATAAAGACTCAAACTCGAGGCCTTACTAAACGATATCAAATTACTTACCATTTAAATTAACCGGGAGCCAACACTTTTACTTGGTGATGCTCTTTTGGCTTATTTCATGACAGTCAAAATTAATCACATAAACTATTTATTAAAATAACTTTGTTGGCAAGACTTTATAGGGGCGGTTGTTGTTTTAGGTTGGGTGATAACCATTTGTTTTTAGGTTTGAAATATTTTTATTTTTTTAAAATAAAGTTAACATTTGAAAGTTTGTACGACATCTTAATATACAGTTAAAATAAAATGTAATGGTTTTATTATTATTTAAATAATAAAATCGGGTAAAAATTACATAAAAACATTATTATTTTATTTAAAATATCAATTTTTTAACATTACCGGTAAAAGTGTCCAATAATAACAAAATCGGTAGAAAAATTAATAAAATCGGTAGCGCTTTACCAATACCGGTAATACTCTTAATAATAATAAAACCGGTAAAAATAATAATGTTTCCGGTTATTTTTTTACCGATTTTATTATTTAAATAGTAACAAAACCAATAACATTTTTTTAAACGTTATTAAAATTGGCACGTGAGCCAAACATTGTAAATTTTAGGTAAAAGGTGCTCGAATTCCTGTATATATATATTTTTTTAAAATCAACGTGATTCTCGTATTATTTTGTGGTCCTTCAACTAAAAAAATCTTAATGTGATCATTTGACCAATGTTTCAATCATGACTAATATTAATGTAAGTCATTGCAGTTAGGATGCTCTAAGTCAACTATAAGTTTTGTAAAAATATCTCTATGATTCATTTCTCCCCCTTCAACAACATCAGATGCAATCGAAATTGATTATTTTCATCTCTACTATTAACTACAAACAGTATTCTTTTCGTAACATTTAAGAACCATTGATCAATGACAGAAAATATTGATCAAATAACTACATTGAGGATTTTTTAGTTATAAGGCTACATTAAAAGAGATAAATAATCCAAGGACTATAATGATTTTTTTTTTAAATACAGGGCCTATGCGTACAATTAATTACATATATTTAATTTGGACCACAAGCAAAAAAATGGTATTACAATTTTTAGGCGTTTACACTTTGCTCATCAACTTTAGGTAAACTACACGTGGTCCCTTATATTTTATGTCCGTTTGATTTTGATCACCAGTTCAAAAAACAGATCGGTTTTGGTCCCTTGTCTTACAAGGAAAATTGCAACAAGAAATCAAATTAGATAAGCAATATATAGCAAAAAACTCGCTACAAAACCTGTCATATGGCAAACAAGTTGTCCTCAAATGAAATCATTTTCTTAACAGAAGAAACAGAAACCAATCCCGAAAGAACTCGCGAAACATTGACGAAAAACTAGCAAAAAACCGATAACCTACTTTCACTTCAAGATGCATTCTCCTTTTTAAGCTTAGCAAGCTCTTGCCGGACGGCTCCAGCCTTCTGCTCGGGTCAAAGGTTAGAGAAAGCTTTTAGATGTTTGGCAAAATAAATTAGTCATGACAAACGGTATTTCAACAAACTAACCTGATCTTAGCTAACATAAGCTTGAACCTATCGAAGTCGTTGAGGGATGCCCTTCTCTTCTGGACAATCAACTTTCTACCCCATGAGCTATTCTCCCACTTGTTCTTAACATCTGTAACAATCGCATAAGGCCAAATAGAAAGGAAACGTTACTTTGAGAAACAATGATGTGATAATGTAAGTGTAAATTATCGTCCTTACGGCCTTCCATAGCTTCAATCAATGTTCTTCTTAGGAACTCGGGGAATGTCGATCGTGATATCCGTCAATGTGAGTCTCTTGAAGTTCATTTGGCCTCTGACCATATCCGGGGCATCAACAAGAGCCTGCATTGCCGATATAAGCAAAAATAAGCTTTCGCTCATCATGCAATCATTACATTGCTTTAACTAGGCTCATGATTCTATCCTTACGGTACAATCAAGTCGTAACACAAGTTGCAGATTAACAAATGCAAAGAAAAATGCACACAAGAAAAGAAATGCTCGTCTATTCCGTATAGGATTAGACTATGTTCCCCGTCCTTCACCCTCCCCTGAAAAATCTGTTCTGACCCATATATGCCACAAAGTAGACGGGGTTTAGGGTTTATGGATTTAGGGGTTAGGGAGTATGAAATCCAAAGTCTCCGATACTCGATAAAACTTAGCACTGTCAAACGCATACAGATAAACCCTAAATCCAGCATTCTAGTTTGACTAAAGTACCATGACTTAACATAACTAGATTACAATCAACAATGAAAATACAAAAAACCAAATTAATCGAACTCTTTAGAATCAAAACAACTAAATTCCAATATAAGTTCACAATTCATCCTTGCACCAAATTAAATCCAATCAAAATACCCTAATATGAAAAATCCATTACAAACCCTCAAAACTGTACTCCATTAGATTTTCATATTTTTCCCCTTAATCATACAACTCTACGCTAACCCATCAGATATTTCATTACTGTAAAACCCACTAAACAGCTAAGAAAAATGATAAGGAAAAATGAAACCGATACTGCATTAAATCTGAAAAAAAGGCATACTCTGTTCTGGTCAACGACATCGACGATGACAACCAACTTGCCGTAGTCTTTACCGTAGTTAACGAGCCACTCTTCCGATCTCAACGTACCTCTTGAACGGCTGAAATAATAAGAACAAAAAAAAAACAATTAAAACCCATAAATATGAGTGAGAAATCATGAATGATATAATCCATTAGGAGATAAAGCAGAAAACGCACCATTTTTGCAGTGGGTGTGAAAGTGTTGGAGCTAGAGAGGCGGCGGAGAGGAAACCAATGAAGGGTGCGAACAACAGATTTGTGGATTTTATAGGGCATTTATAAGCGTCGGATCTAGGGTTTTCATTTTGTAATTTGGGTGATGATGATCTTAGTGGATTTGGGTTCATCAAGTTTAACCAATCCAAATCTAGCCCATGACGACCCAAATACTGTTCATGGTCCATCAAGATCTTACCTTTGGGAACCAGTTGATCCTTCCAATTAAAAGAAGCCACGTGTACACGCCGAAACGTGTAGACGTGCAACCGACCAGAGCCCTGTCGTTTCTGCTTTACTTCAATTCAGTGTCGCTTTCGTCTTCAACAATTCAACTGAATCCAATTCTCCAAGAAAAGATCCCCAGGTTCCTTTTTTGTTCTTTATCTGTATCGAATCAGAACATTATACCAATATTTTAAATCCTTTGTTTCTTATTTAATTCCACGGATTATCCATTTTTCTCTTGATTTTTCATTTTTAAGAGCAGTAAAGTTCCATGTATTGATCTCCTATCTTTTTTGTTGTGATAGATCTGGTTAAAATCCACACTTTTTTATATGATTATTGAATTGTGTTTTGATTATAGAGTATAAAGGTTAGAACTTTAGTGATTTTAAGACATAAAAGTGGCTGCCTTTTTTATTTATTGGATCTTATTGTAGTTAAATTAAATATTGGGAATTTCAATTTTATTTTTGCAGTGAAGGAAAAAAGAAGAAAAAAGTTGAAAGGTTTCTTGAGCAATGGAAGGATCAGTTTCACTCCATCTCTGGAAGGGATGAAGCATATCAAATCTCCAGAAGGGGAAATGCTTGCTAAGCCCTTTCTGGAAGTCTGCAAGTGATTTTGCCAGTTTAGGTTTGTTTATTGTTGCGTTTGGTAATTTCAAGGATTTTGATTATGGGTTAATTTTCATATGTTAAACTTGTTAGATTATTTAACTTTTAGCATCTAATTTGAGTTGATAATCTTTCTTCATTTCTGTTTGTGGAGAAGTTAAGTTTATGGCTGCATTTTTTGGATTTGGAAAGGATAGTAAGATTGAAATGATTATGATTGAATGTTAGATTTGGTAACGAAAATACCCTTTGACGATAATCGACAAAATGCTTGATAGTTTTAGCTAACAATCTTTTTGTAGGATTGTCTAAGAGATTTCATTTCAAACTAGATTGATCAGTTTGTGCCTGTGTGAGATGGATAACGAAAGGCAGAAGTCTTCGGAGAAGGCCTGATATGCAGCACATTACCGGCTTTTGCTTGAGGATAGTGATACAATGTTGATACATTATTTTCAGGGAAAATTTAAACTCTCCATTTTGTATTTTTACAGAAAATTGGATCTGCTATGACTCTTGTAAAGAGTGATGTCGGTGGTAACATATCGGTAAGATGTTATCTTGATTAACTTTTCAAGTATGCTACGATTTAATTTCTGAAAACAGATGCATATGGATATGTAGGTGGTCATTGTAATTGTTTAACCTTTTCGGTCCTTTAATCTCGATTCTCGAAGGCTTTTTAACACCATTCTCGACTGTCTAATGAAACAGATATTTGTTTTCCAAAAATGTTACAACTCGTAAATATTGTTTTGGTTGATTCTGTTTTCAGAGGTTGGAAAAGAAATATGAAAACTGATCCCACTAAATACAAATACTTGTACAATATGGTGAAAGAAGAGGCCGAGTGTAAAACCGCAACAGGTTCATCTAGCTGTACCAATGTGTCTTTGGTTGACAGGTACTTAACATTACCTGGCAATTGCAGGAAATCTCTCTTTCATATGTTCCATTGCCTTCTGTTTAGCGATTTGTAATTTTACAATTTTGATGATTTCAGAGCGATGGATTTCCTCGTAGAACTGTTCCGCAACTTGCTTTCACATCCAGATTGGACTATCTGAA